ACGTGTGATTATTTTGAGTTTTGTCCATATTTTGTTGGTATGCGAATTGACGTCATTTTTGGTTTGTTTCAGTGGCTGCTCTGGACCTGTGCGGTGGATTGTCAGGAGCGTCGTCAATGAATTCCAGGAATGTCGTCAAATTAGCAGCAAAAGTTTGGTCTATTTGTCGTGGCATCTGCTGGTGGGGCAGCTCTGTCGATGGCGTGGCAGGTGAGTACGTATTGAACATTTTTCATGATTATGTGAGTTGATGTTTCCATCTGTTTTTAGTGGCTGCCTCAGGACCGACTTTTCGGCTCATCAAAAGTAGTCAGAGTAGTAGCTATCGTAGTCGTCTAGGATATCCGCTATCTCGTCGTCAACTGAATCGTCGTCCGTCCACTGGTCGTCGCCATCGTCGCTGAGTGCTTCGCAGTCCATATCAGAGTCCTCCGATACGGCTGCGGCGTCAGGTTGTGAATTGGCGGCGGGCCTTGTAGGTGTTGGTGCTGCTGCTGGTGCTGCTGCTGGTGTCTGTGTTGGCGGATTGGCCACTGCTGAGCCACTGCCCTTTGACTCCGTCAGGCTTGCAATTAATGTGGTAAGTTCTTGCAGTTTTTTTTCTAAGTTTTCAATTTTGACGGCGTACTCTTTTAGGAGTCCCACACACTTGCCATCGCATTGGATGGCTGGCTGCTGCTGATGCTGGGGAGTTTTTGGCGTCTGGAAACGATTTGGAGTTGGCTGCACCCGTTGATCGCGCTGGCATTGGCGCCCCTTGGCCTGTGGCTGGGAATGATGGCCGCGATGCTGGTGCTGCTGCTGGTGCTGCCGACCCAAATTGTGTCCGCGCTGCTGCTGTTTTTGTTTATGTTGCTGCTGCTGCTCTTCCCTTAGATTTTGCTGGAACTTGGCCAAATGATTTTCGGCCGGATTGGCTTGCGCACCTCGGCTATACAAGGGCCTGCGGGTGGTGGGCGTTGCTGCTGCAGCTGGTGTTGGTGCTGGTGCTGCTTTGGCCCCCTGTCTGCCGCTTGAATGCTGCTGTTGCTGTTGGTGTTGTGGCCGCTTCTTTTGAGATGACTGCTGTTGCTTGGGGGCGGGAATATGAGGCTGCTGTTGTTGGGAAGGACGACGACTGCTCGTCGGCTGTTGCCGTTCTGCCGCTCGTGGCTGCTGCTGCTGCTCAGCATTCCCAGACCGCAACACCCTGCTGTAGGAGGGCCTGCCATTGCCTCTGGTGCCTGTGTTTGCTGTCTGCTGTTGTTGTTGCTGGGATTGGGATTGGCGACTCGGCTGCTGAGTTTGTGGGCGTTGTTGGTCAGTTGGCTGCTGTGGCTGCTGGCGTTGCTGTTGGTACTGCTGCCTTTGCTGCTCAGCGATGAGCCGGTTTGCCCTTAGATGGCTGCGGGCCTTTTTGTAGGCGGGACAACCCTTGTAGCAGCTCACGTGCTTGCCGCTACAATTGGCGCATTTGGGATCCTCCTGCCTGGGTTTCCTGCATGCTGTTGTGGGGTGATCTCCTGCGCATTTCATGCACTTGTATGGCCGTCTGCAATAGTTTTTGGTGTGCCCAAACTCCTGGCACCGATGGCATTGTGCTGGATCGCGTGGCTTGGCCTGTCTCACTATGGAGACGCATTGATTGGCCAGGTTTTTAATGTCCAGAATTGCCTCATGGCCGCCATCCGCCTTGGGCTGAATCTCCACCTCAAAAATGTTTAGAGGCCTCCCATTGAAACGGTGTTTTAATCCTCGGATAAACCGGGTGGTGTATCCGAGCCGTTCCAGCTCCTCCGTTATCCAGCTGCTGGGAGTAGTATGATGTAAATGACGCACTATTACACGATAGCCCCTTTCACTGCGCGGCTGGTGTGTGTGCAGATGGGTGCTGTCTTCAGCTAGGGCGTTCTGGATGGCGTTGTATGTTAAAATGTCGTCGCAGTGGACTCTGAGTCCACTGTTGGCCATCGATTTCGTCGTGAATTTCCCCACATTTGGATTTATTGTCAATTTGTTAATCAGGGGTATAATTGCAGGCACCAGGGGCAGGAAGATTGTTGGGACCTTGGTGCTGCGTAATGACTGTTGGACTGGCGTTATATTTATGCTAATGTCTGGCTGATGTTGCGGCTGATGGTTGACCGTTTCCATCTGTTGGCTTTCAGCCTCTATCCTTTGGGGCTCCCTATGTTGGACCTCCGGAACCGGAACCACACTATTTGACGGTGTGCGTATTTGCCCAGCATCTGACTCCATCTGCCGGGTCTCATGATGCAGCCTTTTCGCGAATTGGCTCTTGAACATGGGCGTGTCCAGAGTGAGGCAGGTGAAGTCATCGTCTTCTGTATCCGTTTCGATCGCCGCGCATCTTCTTTTGAGCGGCGAGCGAAACGAATTTGTAGTCAATTTATCCTTTGCTATAGGGGTAATGGGCAGGGGCGAGGGCATTTCATTGGCCAGTAGCGGGGGAACGCTAATTAGCCATTCCTTTACCAGTTGTGTTCTGGTACTAGGCCTTGTCTGTATGTTATGCTCGTCCGCCTGAGTCAGAGTAGGCAGCAAGCATTTTCTGCTTCTGCTAGTATGTGTGTTTGTTTGTGTTTTGTTATTGGCGTAGGTCAGGCTAGCTTCGTTCTTGTATGTGTTTGTGTTTTGGTTCGGCGGGAGAGAGCAAGCATCTCTCTTTTTGTCATAAGTGTGTGAGTGCTTGTTTGGCGGCAAACGCTTTGGGGCTTGATGTGACGAGCCTCCGTTTTGATTGTGCGCCGAGGGTTCGGCTGCCGAGAGAGCGCAAGCGTCGCTCTCTCTGATGCTTGTGTGAGTTGTTTGATTGTTATTGTTTTCGCTAATGTTTTGGCGCGAAAACATATGGGCATAACATTTGTTCTTGTTTTGTTTATGTGCACTTAAATGCTCTTTGGTAAGAGCGAAAGCGCCGCTATTTTTGGAACCCGTTGCACTTTCGCTGGGAACTATTTTTGTCTGCGTGTTTGTACGTGTATTTGATGGCGGTTTTTCTTGTATGTTGGCGTCTGTTTTTGGTGGGATTGGCGGGTATTTTCTAACATATAAACCCCTGTCCACGAAACGACGCTCGAACTCCAGCACCGTAGCTCCCAAGGAGCTCAGGGTACTCTCTGGCGAGTCCGTCTCCAACTCAGCCAGATCCGCATCCCCCTCTGAGTCGAACATTGGTTCGAAGAGGGAAGCATTTGCGGAGGGGTTCCCTCCCAGGGGCCTGGTCGATATGACGGCAGAACTTATTTGAGTAACGCACTCACCACCCGCTTCGGCTCTTGCCGAGTTGTCCATAGCATCCATAACATCCATTTTGTTGGTCGTCAGATTTGGAGCAAGTGCGTCCATTTGGTGGCCTGGTCCAGGTACTCAGTAGCTTGCTTTTTCTTCCTCTTTCAGTTCTTCCAGTTGGGTTTATTGGCTTCACTGAATTAAGGCACGATCACAGATGATTATATTGCATTATTTGCAATTATTTGGCACATATTGTTTATTTAGTTTCATTTAATTTAGTCCCGGTTGAAACATGTATTTTAATACATTTAAAGTTCCACATAAAACAACAAAAAACACAAGTCACTTTTTTTTTCGATGTAATTAGATGCGCGTGCACGCCTACGATGCGCACACTCGCCCGCCAGCTTTGCTACTGGCGGAGTTTATTTTCAGCTTTTCTCATTACCAGTACTTCGGCAATTTACATTTAAGCTTAACTTACAACAATGATGTGATTTTTAAAATTGGCGGGCTGTTAACATTAACATTAGCATTACAGTAGCATTACATTAACATTAACATTAAAACATGAAACTAATGGTCTGGCAGCCCTTATGTGTCAATCACAGGATTAACGTACATAAATCAGCAGGTGGTCACAAACAGATAAGTATTGACAATATTGAACAATTATTTACATTTTAATTTAATTTAATTCTATTTTATTTCTATTTGCAGGTACTGGATCATCGTCGTCGTCTGGAGCAGAGTGTTTGGCACGGTGCGCAACCGTACGGCGCTGGATGAGCGCGTGTGTAAGGTGCGGCAGGAGACGTGGACAATGCACAGCGCCGTGCAGAGTGGATGGAGCGATCGCCGTGGTCCTCCAGGTGGCCCGGGATTCGGCCAGATTTGTGTGGCGATGGTTGCCAGCAGCCATGAAGTGCAGGAAAACCACCCCTGCGTGGATTCGGATGCGCCATGTGTGCGGCGCAAGCGTGTCCAAATTGGCATTCATAGCCAACCAGCAGCCGTGATGACTCTCGTCCGCGGAGCCCTTCTGGAGGCCGGATGCCGTGGTGACGCCCATGAGAAAGGATCAGAGGAGCAACTAGGGGTGTCGCCCGGTGTCGCAAGCGTGTTTGTACACGCTTCAGGTGAGTTTTGTGCCGTTTTATATTACTCTGTGGAGGGGATAATTTTGCAAATTTTAATGTCATTTTTACATTTACCAGGTACAACGACAATGTCCACCACAGGAACATTGGGCTTGCTGCGGCCGGATTGCGGCGTCCCAGTGAGCGGCGCCTTGCTGCACCAAAGTGCGGAGTCACTGTGGCGGTGTGCGCAATGTGCCGGCCGGCATCATCGTCGTTGTTGTGGTCATCGTCATCTGAGATGGATTGGACATCGGTGATGATTTGGACGTCGTCGTCGTCGTCATCTGAGATGATTAGGACGTCGTCGTCGTCGTCGTCGTCGACCACCCGTTCAAGGCGCCGTCGGACTTGCTCCAGTCCGTGGTCCAGGAGTGCCTCTTGCGGATTGCGTCGATGGCTGTCGTCCAGGGTGCGTGAGCTGCTGCTTGCAGCCCGTGTCTGGCAACGATGATGTGACGTCTGCCGGTTGCTGCTCGCCAGAATTTGCCGTGTCTGCTGCTGAGTCCGCTGCTGCGTCTGCTGCTGCATCTGTTGTTGTGTCTGCTGCTGAGTCCGCTGCTGCGTCTGCTGCTGCGTCTGCTGCTGGGTCCGCTGCTGCGTCTGCTGCTGCATCTGCTGCTGAGTCTGCTGCTGCGTCTGCTGCTGAGTCTGCTGCTGCGTCTGCTGCTGCGTCGCTGGATCGGGATCCCCCTCGTAATCTGGCAGGATTATCCTTTGGACAGAAAGTGGCTGGCCAAAGATAAGAGCCACTATTCTTTCTCGGGGAGTTTGGCCGCTGAGGTATCGTTTTCTGAAGCAATTTATCATCGATTCGTTGAACCTTTCGGGGTTCGGATTGATGATATTTTGTTGTTGGATTCTTCTTAATTGCCTGGCGTCTGATTCCTCCTGTCTCTTTCTTTTCAGCTCCTCCTCTTCGAGACGGACCAGCGTTGGAAGCGATTCCTCGGAGATGGCCGGATCTGGATGTTGATGATGATGGCTGCTCCGATCCTGATTTTGAGGCTGCAGCGGGCGGAAGTGTTGGAGCAGCTGTTGCAGATAACGTGGTCTCTGCAATCGCTGTGGTTCATACGGCTGCAGTAATAGTTTCCGAGCCTCCGGATTGACATGGCAAGCCAAGGAGTTGGCGAAGCGCCCACTTGCCGCATGGAACACTTCGTCGATTGTGTCTAGATTGTGAGTCTGTCTTATCGCATCGTTCCTGGTGAACCTTGTCGCCTTCATTGCCCGTCTAATAATTTTATTTTGTAGGCTTTGCACCCGTCGCAGCTGGGAATCGGATGTAAGTGCGCCCCAAACCGGAAGACCATATTGCCAAATGGGCATGATGAGCTGCTTGATGACTATAGCCTTGGTTTCGCTTGGTAGCCGGCTTTTTGGGCCAGCAAGCCAGTCCAGTTTGGCCGCTCTTGATCGGAGTTTTGTGCAGATCCTCGTGATGTGTGAGCTTAGGGTGAGTTTTTTGTCCAATTTTATGCCCAGATATGTGTGTGATTTGGACAGTGGCACAGCCTGTCCATTTATAGTCGGCGTTTGCCTTAAGTCCGTTGATCTAATTGTCCTCAGTGTGAATATTACATGTCCGGTTTTTTTCGCATTTATGTTAATGCACCACTTCTTGGCCCATATAGAGAAGTGAGTCAGGTATCTTTGGTTATATTTGACTGCCACATTTGGGATTGCAGATGCGCTCATTATCACCGTGTCGTCGGCATACGTGGACAGCAGCATTGATTCCCGTTCTGGATGGAAGCCAGTGCTGTCCTGGATGAGGTGAGGCATTGGCATGTCCGAGGCATAGATTGTGTATAGGATTGGCCCAAGTACACTACCCTGCGGGACTCCAGCTGATATTTTTCCGATCCTTGACAGTTCCTCGTCTCCGCAGCTCACACAAAAAGTGCGTTCAGCCAGGTAGCTCTCCAGAATGCAGTACAAATTTAAAGGCAGCAGCTTCATCAACTTGTACAGCAGCCCTTCATGCCATACTCGGTCAAAAGCTTCGGAAATGTCCAGGAAAATTGCCGAGCAAACTTGTTTTTTCTCATACGCCTTGAGGATGTATTGAGTGACTCGAGCCAGCTGCTGTTCAGTGCCATGCTCCCGCCGAAATCCAAATTGGTAATTGGGTACGGCCTTGGCAAAATTCTCCACCTCAAACAGTCTCGCCATCAGCAATTTTTCAAAGATCTTTGAAAGGCCAGATAATAGACTGATTGGCCGGTAGGAACACATGTCTGCTGTGTTTTTGCCCGGTTTTAAAATCATTTTAATCTGGGCATGTTTCCACTGACTTGGAAAGTGGCCCAGCCTGAAAATGGAGTTATATATTAGTATTAAATATAATAGCGCTTTTTTTGGCAAATTTTTAATCAGCTTGTTATTGATTTTGTCTCCCCCAGGTGATTTGGACAGCTCCAATGCATCCACAATCTGCATCAGCTCAGGCAGTGTGACTGGTCTGAAGGGAATCCTGGTTTCCTGGTCCGGTTGTAGCTGCTTCTGCCGTTTTGACTGCTCACGCTCTCTATTGATTGCGGCCCGCTCTTCATCTGAATTGGACAGTATCGGGCTGAATCTCTCCTCCAGGTGAGTAGCAAAGGCATCGGCTGTCTCAGCTGTTGACTTTGTCCACGAGACACTTGCCTTGCCTCCAGTCATAGTTGGCAGCCTCAGTGGCCAGTTTGGCTGCGGCTGCCTTTTGATTGTGCTGGTCAATTTCCATAGTTTCTGCATTTGATAGCGGTCTTTGTTGTCAATCCCTGTGAACAGTTTGTTGATGTTTTTGTTTTTCAGGATTGTGAGCCCCTTGTTAAGACGATTTTGCGCCGCCCTGTAGTTTCGTCTGGCTTCGATGGTGCGGGTCGCCAGCCAGATCCTCTTGCACTGCTGTTTGATGGAGAGCAGCTCGCTTGTAGCCTCGTCCAGCTTGAGGTGATGGTGCCGGTGATGTTGCTGTGACCGCTGCTGATGATGATGCTGACGCTGCTGTGGCCATCTTCGATGAGTGTTTGGATGCTGCTGTTGGTGTTGTGTTGTTGCTGCTGCTGCTGCTACCCGTATATTGTTCAAAAACAAGTAAACGACGTCATCAATGTCCTGCGCTATCCTAATCTCGGTGTTGAGATTGATCAACCGTTCCAGCGACTTTTGGAACAGGCTGATATTGGCACGTGCTGGGAGCAGATGTTTCCTGACTGTGGGCGTAGGATGTCTACGTCCACCGCTGCCGATCGTCAACTCCACCCTGAGCAGCAAGTGATCAGAGTCCAAATCCGAGCTTGAACGGATACTCAGGTGAGTGTCGTTGATTCCTTTGTAGATTCCAAAGTCAATCGCTGATGGTCTCTTTTTTTTGTCGTAGGGATAGTGTGTGGCACCACCGGTGGCCAGCAAATTGCAGCCGTTGTTGGTGTGTACAGCCTCCATCAGTGCTTTCCCTCTGGCGCATCCACGGGCATTTCCCCACCACATATGCTTCGCGTTCCAGTCACCGCATACAAGGAAGCCGGATGCTGTTTCTTCGACGCAGAGTTCTTCAAAATGTCTTATCAATCCAGTAAAATGGGCAGGCGCCCACTTGAATACAGGCGGACAGTAGATCGGCGCAAAAATAATTCCCTTTTTATTTTCCTTTTCAGTGAAGACGATGACAGGTGCACTCTGGATGAATGGCTTTGAAATTGGCTGCAGAGCAGAGTGGGTGACATCGTCCCGGACCAGGATGGCTACTCCCCCTCTGCGATCGTTTGCCGGATTTTGTGCAGTGTAAGTGTGGAATCCGCTCACAGAGACGGCCCTTGTGCGTGTTTCGATGACCATCATTAATTGTATTTTTTCCCTTTTCAGGAAAACTTCGACCTCGTTCAACTTGTTTGTCACACCACACGCGTTCCAGAAGGCAATTTTAAAAGTGTTGCCGTTCTGGCTGACGCTGTGGGTGGAGATAGTCTGTACTGGATTGACTTTTTGGTTTGACAGGCCATTCGGGACTGGACTATACATAAAAGGCATCATTGGCGGAGGACAGGGCCATGTCCAAAGAGTTTGGTGAACTGCTATTTGTTGTTTTGCTTGTCTTATTTGTATTGATGTTTATTAATTTAACTATTGCAGAAAATAGACTATCGATTTTGGCCTCAAGTCTTGAGAGAAATTCTGCATTTTCTTTATGGGCATGGGACTGGAAATTTGCGGGGAGAGTTTTTTGCTGTTCTTGTTGCTGCTGGTGGTGGTGCTGCTGCTGCTCATCCCTCAACTTCTGTTGGAAATTGGCCAAATGATTTTCGGCCGGATTGGCTTGAGCACCTCGGCTATACAAGGGCCTGCGGGTGTTGGGCGTTGCTGCTGCTATTGGAGTTGGTGCTGCTTTGGCCCCTTGTACAACTCTTGCGCGCTGCTGCCGCTGATGCTGCTGCTGCTGTGGCCGCTTCCTTTGTGATGGCTGTTGCTTCTCAACAGTACGGACATATGGCTGCTGCTGTTGCTGTGGTCGGCGATGCTGCTGTTGGTGATTGTCCGCTCGTGGCTGTTGCTGCTGCTGCTGCTGCTCCTGCTCAGTAGTTCCGCTACGTACTACCCGGCTGTACGACGGCCTGCCGCTGCCGCTGATTGTTGCTGGCTGCTGTTGTTGTTGTTGGCGGCCCTGTCGTTGCGTCTGCTGTGACTGCTGCTGATGATGCTGCTGCTGCTGCTGCGTACGCTGGTGTTTGTTGTGTTTCTGTTGTGGGCGTTGCTGCTCGGTTTGCTGCTGTGGCTGCTGGCGTTGCTGTTGATATTGCTGCTCACCGATGAGCCGGTTTGCCCTTAACTGGCTGCGAGCCTTTTTGTAGGCGGCACATCCCTTGTAGCAGCTCACGTGCTTGCCGCTACAATTGGCGCATTTGGGATCCTCCTGCCTGGGTTTCCTGCATGCTGTTGTGGGGTGATCTCCTGCGCATTTCATGCACTTGTATGGCCGTCTGCAGTAGTTTTTTGTATGCCCAAACTCCTGGCACCGATGGCATTGTGCTGGATCGCGTGGCTTGGCCTGTCTCACTATGGAGACGCATTGATTGGCCAGGTTTTTAATGTCCAGAATTGCCTCATGGCCGCCATCCGCCTTGGGCTGAATTTCAACCTCAAAAATATTTAGAGGCCTCCCATTAAAACGATGTTTGAGTCCTCGGATAAACCGGGTAGTGTATCCGAGCCGTTCCAGCTCCTCCGTTATCCAGCTGCTGGGAGTAGTGTGATGTAAATGACGCACTATTACACGATAGCCCCTTTCGCTGCGCGGCTGGTGTGTGTGCAATTGGGTGCTGTCTTCAGCTAGGGCGTTCTGAATGGCGTTGTATGTTAAAATGTCGTCGCAGTGGACTCTAAGTCCACTGTTGGCCATCGATTTCGTTGTGAATTTCCCCACATTTGGATTTATTGTCAATTTGTTAATCAGGGGTATAATTGCAGGCACCAGGGGCAGGAAGATTGTTGGGACCTTGGTTCTGCGTAATGACGGTTGGACTGGCGTTAAATTTATACTAATGTCTGGCTGATGTTGTGTCTGATGGCTGATGTTGCGGCTGATGTTGCGTTCAGACTCCTCCCTTTGAGGCTCCCTATGTTGGACCTCACTTGGTGGGACCGGAACCTCAGTGTTTGGCGGTGTGCTTATTTGGCCAGCATCTGACTCCATCTGCCGAGTCTCATGATGCAGCCTTTTTGCGAATTGGCTCTTGAACATGGGCGTGTCCAGAGTGAGGCAGGTGAAGTCATCGTCATCAGTATCCGTTTCGATCGCCGCGCATCTTCTTTTGAGCGGCGAGCGAAACGAATCTGTAGTCAATTTATCCTTTGCTATAGGGGTAATGGGCAGGGGCGAGGGCATTTCATTGGCCAGTAGCGGGGGAACGCTAATTAGCCATTCCTTTACCAGTTGTGTTCTGGTACTAGGCCTTGTCTGTATGTTATGCTCGTCCGCCTGAGTCAGAGTAGGCAGCAAGCATTTTCTGCTTCTGCTAGTATGTGTGTTTGTTTGTGTTTTGTTATTGGCGTAGGTCAGGCTAGCTTCGTTCTTGTATGTGTTTGTGTTTTGGTTCGGCGGGAGAGAGCAAGCATCTCTCTTTTTGTCATAAGTGTGTGAGTGCATGTTTGGCGGCAAACGCTTTGGGGCTTGATGTGACGAGCCTCCGTTTTGATTGTGCGCCGAGGGTTCGGCTGCCGAGAGAGCGCAAGCGTCGCTCTCTCTGATGCTTGTGTGAGTTGTTTGATTGTTATTGTTTTCGCTAATGTTTTGGCGCGAAAACATATGGGCATAACATTTGTTCTTGTTTTGTTTATGTGCACTTAAATGCTCTTTGGTAAGAGCGAAAGCGCCGCTATTTTTGGAACCCGTTGCACTTTCGCTGGGAACTATTTTTGTCTGCGTGTTTGTACGTGTATTTGATGGCGGTTTTTCTTGTATGTTGGCGTCTGTTTTTGGTGGGATTGGCGGGTATTTTCTAACATATAAACCCCTGTCCACGAAACGACGCTCGAACTCCAGCACCGTAGCTCCCAAGGAGCTCAGGGTACTCTCTGGCGAGTCCGTCTCCAACTCAGCCAGATCCGCATCCCCCTCTGAGTCGAACATTGGTTCGAAGAGGGAAGCATTTGCGGAGGGGTTCCCTCCCAGGGGCCTGGTCGATATGACGGCAGAACTTATTTGAGTAACGCACTCACCACCCGCTTCGGCTCTTGCCGAGTTGTCCATATCATCCATAACATCCATATTATTGGTCGTCAGATTTGGAGCAAGTGCGTCCATTTGGTGGCCTGGTCCAGGTACTCAGTAGCTTGCTTTTCCTTCCTCTTTCAGTTCTTCCAGTTGGGTTTATTGGCTTCACTGAATTAAGGCACGATCACAGATGATTATATTGCATTATTTGCAATTATTTGGCACATATTGTTTATTTAGTTTCATTTAATTTAGTCCCGGTTGAAACATGTATTTTAATACATTTAAAGTTCCACATAAAACAACAAAAAACACAAGTCACTTTTTTTTTCGATGTAATTAGATGCGCGTGCACGCCTACGATGCGCACACTCGCCCGCCAGCTTTGCTACTGGCGGAGTTTATTTCCAGCTTTTCTCATTACCATAACTTCGGCAATTTACATTTAAGCTTAACTTACAACAATGATGTTCTTTTGAATTTTTGCGGGCAATTGACATTAACATTACATTAACATTAACATTAACATCTACAGACATGTTTACATTCTATCAGTATTACAGTCTGGTAGCCCTATTTTGACATTCGCAATTATTGACGTACATTTATACAAACAAAGAGATAAGTATTGGACAAATTGCAACATTAATGACATTTATAGGCTAATTTAATTCTATTTATTTTCTATTTCAGGTACTGGAGGATCATCGTCGTCGTCTGGAGCAGTGTGGATGGCACAGGGCGCATCCGCCTCAGCGCTGGATGTGCACGTGTGTGTGATGCAGCAGATCGCGCATCTGCGGCATCAGAATTGGCAGAGGCTGGATCCAGGAGTTGGCGTGAATGGAGATGGTGTTTGGCGAGCGACTCTGGTCCGGCCGCCCACGTTGCCTCTACCTGGAGAACTGGAGATTGACACTGGTCCGGCCAATCGGGGTGCGTTGGCCAGTGGAAATGGCCGCAGTGAAGATGGACGCAAATGAGTGCGGATTGGCTGCATCCGAGTGGCTGCTGGTCCGGCCACCCAGGATGCACTGTCGATGTGGATGTAGATGGAGCGCTGGCCATTGTCGTCTGTATTGGCTGGCCTCGTCGTTGGATTGCCGCTGCTGTTTTGTGATGGTGGTGGCGTGACGTCACGGCCATCGGTTGCTGGCAGCGTTGTCGGAGGGGCGTCCAAATTGAGCCCAACTTGCAACAAAATGTTGCAGTTGGTGGCGAGGCAGGTACTGGAGAGGCTGATCTGTGAGTGTATTGACAGGTAAGTGTGATTAGTAAAAGTATTGGCTATTTTGTGTTGATGCGTGAATTGATGTTTTTTCTTCTTTTTAGCGGCAGTCTGGATGTTGATGGCGACGACGATAGGGCCTTCAAATTTCGCCCATTTGGCAGGAATTGGATGGCGAATTTGGTGTGGCAACTGCTGAAGAGGCAGCTCTATCGGAGGCGTGGCAGGTACGTATGTTTTGAGTGAGTTTGGACCATTTTGTGTTGATGTGTGAATTGATGTTTTTACTCCTTTTAGCGGCAGCCTGAGGACTGGATGTTGTTGGCGACGGCGATAGGGCCTTCAAATTTCGCCCATTTGGCAGGAATTGGATGGCGAATTTGGTGTGGCAGCTGCTGAAGAGGCAGCTCTATCGGAGGCATGGCAGGTACATATGTTTTGAGTGAGTTTGGATCATTTTGTGTTGAAGTGTGTATTGACGTCATTTTGGTTTGTTTACAGTGGCTGCTCTGGACCTGTGCGGTGGATTGTCAGGAGCGTCGTCAATAAATCCCAAAATGTCGTCCAATTGGCATCAGATGTGTGGTGTTGATGACGGGGCAGCTGCTGGAGGGGCAGATCTGTCGGAGGCGTGGCAGGTACGTGTGATTATTTTGAGTTTTGTCCATATTTTGTTGGTATGCGAATTGACGTCATTTTTGGTTTGTTTCAGTGGCTGCTCTGGACCTGTGCGGTGGATTGTCAGGAGCGTCGTCAATGAATTCCAGGAATGTCGTCAAATTAGCAGCAAAAGTTTGGTCTATTTGTCGTGGCATCTGCTGGTGGGGCAGCTCTGTCGATGGCGTGGCAGGTGAGTACGTATTGAACATTTTTCATGATTATGTGAGTTGATGTTTCCATCTGTTTTTAGTGGCTGCCTCAGGACCGACTTTTCGGCTCATCAAAAGTAGTCAGAGTAGTAGCTATCGTAGTCGTCTAGGATATCCGCTATCTCGTCGTCAACTGAATCGTCGTCCGTCCACTGGTCGTCGCCATCGTCGCTGAGTGCTTCGCAGTCCATATCAGAGTCCTCCGATACGGCTGCGGCGTCAGGTTGTGAATTGGCGGCGGGCCTTGTAGGTGTTGGTGCTGCTGCTGGTGCTGCTGCTGGTGTCTGTGTTGGCGGATTGGCCACTGCTGAGCCACTGCCCTTTGACTCCGTCAGGCTTGCAATTAATGTGGTAAGTTC